GTCTCTGCACCTGACCAGAACTGAATGGGTGGAACTGCCAGCATGGCAGTGGGAGATTGGACCATATGATGGACTTGTGGGTATGGGGGCAAGAGCTTGAACTTTCAACTGGGTGGGGAAAACCAGGAAGCTTTCAGATTGGGGCTTTCCCAGATGTGCCAACATGGCTCTCTTAATAAATTGGAACTTTGAGCAATACTTTGCCTTGGACTCTGATTTACTTTTTGATGCTATTTGGAACCCTGACACTTACCTTTTTTCAATCTATTCAAAGCAACTTCTACGTCTTATTTCTTAATCTCCACTATCAAGTCATTCATTCTATTGAGAACTGATACTTTTTCATATAGGAAAAAGTACTCCTATATGAAGTGGGCACTCCAGGTTCTTTCTCATTTTCATTCTCATCTTTTTCTTCCATATCTATTTTCCCACAATCCACAGTTAACACCAAATAATGGGCTGTCCTACATTCCTCATTCGTTTGTCCTTCATTAATTCTGTCAGTTTTTCCATCATAAACAGGAAAGTAAATTGAGCTTATTTTTTCTTGTTATCTATATCATATTTAAAAGCAGAACCAAGAAGCCAAAAAGAAAGAAAAGGAAAATCCAACAAAAAGAGCTTGCAAGATTTATAAAATTACATATGGTTTTTAAATTGATTTGTCAGGAGTGCCTGAGAACAGAGTGAGTATAATAACCTATTTAATTACATATATGAAACAGAGTTATTCCGTTCTTATACGCCACTATTCTTATTCATTCTTGAGTCTCTAAATTGACTCCATCGCTTACATTTTCTGTGCTCTCTGATCTTTTTTCTTCCCATCAATTCATATAATGAGAAAAATTTCCTGGAGTGTGTTCAACAGAAAGCTACAAATCCCTTCCCCATTTATTCTGCTCTTTCCATTATCGTTATTCATTGGAGCATAACATGCATTCTCACAAACCTAAAGTAGATTCCTACTGACATATACCTACAGCAATCAGATGACACCTTGTAATTGATACTTTCCGACATACACTTTAGCTTTTCTATTTCTAATAATGCTACTCCACTTCCTTTTATATATTTATCTACAGACAATCCTTGCTTAATGATGGTAATTAGGGTCAGCAACATTGCTAAACAACTCAGTTATAAAGTGCGTTGTCATATGACTGCACCAATTTACAATGACAGTTGCAAAAGTATCAGTTGCCATCATTAGGTACTGTAAATCGCACATGATTATAGTGTTCCATGGTCAGATGACCACAATTTGCAAATTCATGCTGCCCTCCTGAATGACTTTACTTGTCAGAAACTGTCAGTAAAGATGGCAAATGATGATCATGTGACTGTGGAATACTGCAATGTTAGTTGCAAGCAGGTCACCAAATGCCCAAAATGCAATCAAGTGATTCTGAGGATGCAACTATGAGGACCAGAGGTGGGTTCCTACCAGTCGCACCTATTCGGTAGAACCGGTTCGTCAAATCTACCGAACCAGTTAGAAGAGGTTCCACCAGTGGACCCGGAAACCAGGCCACACCTAGAGAAGAGGTTCCAAAAATTTTTGAAACCCACCACTGGTNTGCCTTTGAACCCTAATATTAACCCGAATCTCCCTTAAAATACTTCACCAGCCACCCCGAATTTCGGGGTGCTATCCAGGGTCCTGAGCCCCAGCACTGACTTGAGCCCGGTGGCATAAGGATTCAGGGAAGATGGAGCCCATGGAGAAAATAGTAGATGACGGATTGACTATCTATGTCGAGACCATCTACATGCCTTCAAAAGCCATGGTGGAAGCTGAGGAGGCCGCAGAGAGGGAACACCAGCTGGGAGCCAGGTGCAAAGAGCCAGCCCCTAGGCATCCCTCACAATCGGAGCTAACTCTACAAAATGAAGCCATGGGATTTACTTCTGCTAAAGTAGAAGAGTTGCTGTTGGAGCCACAGGGGGGTGCAGGATCAGCCTCGACCCATGAGTGGAGGGGACTAAAGCAGATGCCAACTAGGTGCTCCAATGATTGAGGATCCCAGCCACCCTCATGCAGTCAGTCTCTGACCGGTCTCCCAGACCAATTCAGACAGCTTAAGATGAGTGGAATTAACCCTTGCCTTAGCTCCAAACCACCCAGGTGGACCATGGACCAGCCAACATTCACCTTCCTGGTTCAAGACTTTGCAACATAATAGAGTGGGGATTTATGCTCCTTCCATACAGCAACAAGCATTTCAGCCCAAAACCTTGCCGCTGGAATAAGACCAATGGCAGTGCCCCTTCACCCTGGGGCACAGATGGCATCAACTGGGATGGGGAAGTCAACCCAGCCAGCAGCAGAGGGGGTGGGGGATTTCCAGAATTGGTACAACACTGTAGTAATTCTGGATCACAAACTTCACCCCCCATCGAAAGCCCACTGCTGAAAAGCTGGCTAGAAGACCTTTGGGCCACCTAACACAAATGAAGCAAGCCGAGATGCCTCCTTCCAAGTCTGCGGGAGCAAAAAAATGTTACCGGTGTGGTCAACATGGACACAGAGCTTCAGAATGCTTGGCCCCAGCCCCAATCCCACAAAAGCGCACCCAAGCTGCCAGTGGGACAAAAAAAAGGGCCCTGAAACCCACCTGAAAAGAGTCATCTCGCCCAACAAATGGAAGGATCCGATCCCCAGCTTGAGGCGATGGAGACTACACCAGATGGGGAAACCCGTCCCAGTTCAGAGGAAGAAAAAAGCAGCAAAGACTACCCAATGGTAAGTGTACCATCTGCCCCTTTGCCATCAAAGGCAAAATCATAGTGCCCAAGACGGGGTAGAAGGGGAAGTTGAGGTAGTTGTGGACATGGGCTGCATCTGGTGCTTAATCAGCATGTCCATCGTGGAGCAGCTAGGCATATGCACAAGACCCTTAGCCAATCTCATTCGGTTTGAGCAAGTGGATGGAACGCTAATTGGAGGGCCCACTGCCAAGCTAATTACCGACTTGGTGAAGTTGCAGATTGGATGCCACTATGCACTTCTCAGATTAATCATAGCACCAAAAATGAATGAATCAATAATCTTGGGCCTTGCATGTTTGGACAAATGGGCACCTACTTATAAAGTGGGAGGACGGCATTTGAAAATTGACCCTAGGCATTGGGCACTACCCCCTGTAAAGCCAGAAGGACACCCAGGGACCATCGAACCCCTTAAAGCAGACCATCCAGAGCCAGCAACCCTGGCAGCAGACACTAAACTCCCAGGCATCCAGCAAATACCAAAAAAAATACTGGGATCTGGCAGGGGTTTTCAGTGAGAAAGATTGCAATTATCTCTCCCCTCACAGACCCACCAATTGTGCAATAGAGTTTGTGCCTGTGGCAACCCTACCAAAGCCAAAAATGTACTCCATGGCTCCTAAAGAGATGGCAGAATTAAAGAAATACATCAATATAATGTGAAGCGGGGCTTTATCCAACCAGCCAAGTCAGAAGTAGCAGCCCTTGTGCGTTTCAAAGAGAAGAAAGATGGGGGGGAGGTGTTAGGCTCTTCATTGACTTCTGGGGGATCAACTGCATTTGCATAAAAAAAAACACCTTCCCCCTCATGAAAGACATGTTGAACCACTTGGCTAAAGGAAAATTGTTCACCAAACTGGACTTGAGAGAGGCATATTACCGCATACTTATCTGGGAAGGAGATGAATGGAAGACCACCTTTAACTGCCCCCTTGGTAGTTTCCAATTTAAAGTGATGCCATTTGGGGCTACAAGGGGTCCCTGCAGTCTTCATGCAGTTCATTAATGAGGTGCTGCATGAGCACCTGTTCAAAGGGGTGCTCATTTACTTTGATGACATGCTCATCTTTTCTGAGACCCTAGAAGAGCACGTAAAGCTGATGCTGGTCCTGAAAAAACTTCTAGCTGCCAAGCTCTACACTAAACTATCGAAGTGTGAATGCTACAAAACCTCACTGGATTACCTCGGCTATCGTATTTCCAGCGAACAGATAGAGATGGACCCAGGAAAAGTGAAAGTGGTGCTAGACTAGCAACCTCCATGCACCAGCAAACAGCTACAAAGTTTCTTTGGATTTGCTAACTTCTATAGGCAATTCATCCCAGCTTTTGCAGAAGTCGCCCTGCCATTGACTGAACTATTAAAAACAGGGCCTTCCTTGACAAAGCCAAAGCCAGATCAACCTATTGGGTGGATAATGGACTGTCAAAAAGCATTTGAGAAATTTGCCAAAGAGCCCATCCTGCAACACCCTGACCCAGAGCAGCAATTCATAATCCAGGCAGATGCCAGTGATGTTGCTGTAGTGGATGTGCTGTTGCAAAAGAACAAAGAGGGACAACTCTTGCCATGTGCTTATGTCTCCACAAAACTCACTGCCACTGAAAGAAGGTGGGCCTTTTGTGAGAAAGAAGGCTATGCGATCAGGTGGGCCCTACTCACCTGGAGATATTTCCTAGAAAGGGGGACATGCCATTCGAGGTCTGGACTGACCATAAAAACCTCAAAGCTCTCAAAAGCCCCTGGAAACTGTCTCCAAAGCACGTTCGCTGGGCACAATACTTCAGAAGGTTTACATTCGAACTGAAGCATATCCTTACAGGGAAGAACTTGCTGGCAGATGCCTTATCGAGAAAACCACAGTATGAGAGTCGGAGGGAAGAAGTGATTCACCCTGAAAAAGAAAAAGAATTAACATTGCAAATGATTATGTTAGAAATTCAAAAAATACAAATAAGTACAAAAAACATTGAAAAGAGAATGGAGAACATAGAACAAAAAACAGAAAAAATAGAGGGAAGAGTTGAGAATATTTATAAAATGATGATGAAATTTGAGGATAGAGTTCAAAAAATTGAAGAAAAGTATGAACAAAGTGATAAGAAAATTGTTGATATTGTCAGCAAATCGAGCATAGTTGGAAACGACAGGAGTGGAATGTTGAAAGGAGAGATTAACGAATTGGAACCCTATCTCAAACCTCAAAACATGGAAGAAGAAAAGGGAGAAAATTTGGCAGAAACAATGAGAGAAATTCTGGCAGAAGCACCGGTGATAACTAAAGCAAGCGGATGGAAGGAACAGATGGAGAGTTTCGAATCCTTACAAGATACGCAAGGAACAACAAGGTGCCAAGAGAAGTCCACATAAGACTTATCAAGAAAACTGAATACAAATACCACAAATGGCAAGAGATATAGGAATGTTAGAATAAAAATTAAGTTAAACTTAGTTAAATTTATAGTATTATGTGTAAAATAAAGTAATAATAGTTATAGCTAAATAAATGATTAATAATGATAATAATGCATATATATATATATATATATATATATACATACACACATACATACATACATACATACATATACATACATACATACATACATACTAGATTGATAATATGAAATTTTATATAAATTGTATGTGAGGACTATGGAGAGGATGTTGAAAAGCTTTGTTATAAAAGATAAATAATTCTATATAGAATAGAATATAAAAATGTAATACTATTGGGTGATTTCAGGATGATGTAATGAAATGCATAATATAAATTTATTTTAAATTTAGAATAATTTACATAAAAAGTGTGTAATAATAGCTATAGTCAAATGAATGTTTAATGACCATAACAATTGTATACATATATATTAGAATGATGATATGAGTTTTTATGTAAATTGCAAATGAAGACCATTGTGAGAAAGCACAAAGTTTTGTAACCAATCAACACACTGTAAGTAACTGGAGAAGGTTTTTATTTTGTGTGTGTTTATGTCTGTTTGTTCTACGTTTGTCTAAAAATAAAAACTTTTTTATAAAAAAAGAAGTGACCCCATTATTCCCCCCAACCAAAAGGTGGCTCAAGTCACCACCAGAGGCCAGACCTCTGTCAAGACAAGCTGACTGCAGCAATGAAATCAGTGCTGCCAAACAACCCCTGGCTCAACCACAACATCCTGACAATGAGAGGTGATTTAGCCTGGAAAGGATCCAAATCAGTGGTGGGTTGCAGGCGGTACGCCCTGGTACATGTGTACCGGAGCCTGCCCGGAGACCAGATACCATTCCAGTATGGTGCTCCAGAGGGCCTACCCGCCCGCCCGAGCTCCTTACCAGTCTTTTAAGTCTTTGGCACTTCCACACACGTGCATGGCGCATATAGCGCCTGTGCAATGCTCCGCTTAGTAGCTGGAGCATCGCGGAGGCTCACGGAGGTGCTAAGATGCATGAACGTGATGTGTGCATGCGCGTGCACGCTGCACACATCCATGTGGATGCCACCGGGCCCGTTCCAACCGTACTGGTTGGAATGGGATCCAGAACCCACCACCGATCCAAATGTATGTTCCTGTGAACTTGAGGCTGGAAGTACTACAGCAAAGCCACGTCGTGAAATTGGGGGGGGGGGGTCACTTTGGATTCCTAAAAATGCCTCATCTCGCCAGACATCAATTTTGGTGGCCAAAAATGAAAATAGAAGTTGAATACGTGAAAAGATGTGCCACTTATGCAACCATGAAAATATGGCCAGGCAAGCCCCCTGGATTACTGCAATAGGTGTCCAGCCCTAGCGGACCACGGGAGGAGATCGCAATGGATTTCATTGTAGAGCTCCCAGACAGTGGTGGGAATAAAGTAATTTGGACAGTCATTGACTTATTTTCCAAGCAAGCTCATTTCGTTGCTTGCTCAGGATTACCATCCACAAAGAAGCTAGCAAAGATGTTGTTAAACACATTTACCGCCTGCACGGAGTACCTAGGACAATCATCTCAGACCGTGGAATTCAGTTCACCGCCAAGTTCTGGAGGGAATTGCTTAGGTCCATTGGGTCCACACAAGGACTTAGCTCAGCTTTCCATCCAAGCAGGAATGGAGCAGCAGAATGAACTAACGCGATGGTGGAACAATACATATGTTGTTATGTGGATTCAGGTAGGACAACTGGTCGGATTTGCTATCATTCGCTGAAGTTGTCTATAACAACGCTGTTCACAGCAGTGCTGGATTAACTCCTTTTCAATGGCATGGAATTTGTTCCCATGCCTGAACTGCCCCCTCTTCCATGTCTCTGACTAAATGGATGGATGCTCCTTAAAGGGGGTGGGAGAATACGAACAAAGCTCTGGCAGAAGCAGCAGAAGAAACAAGCTGATAAGCACTGCTCGCTCCAACCCCATTTCTGCGTGGGGAATAAAGTTTTCTTGTCTACTGAATACATAAGGTAAAGAATGCCTAGCAAGAAATTAGAGCCAAAAAATGTAGGTCCCTTCCCAATAGTGAAAATAATTAACCCAGTTTCAGTTCAGCTCAGTCTGCCAAGAATTCTAGGGAAAATTCATCCTGACCAGAGGTGGGGCAGTGGTTAGAGTGCAGTACTACAGGCCACTTCAGCTGACTGCTAGCTGCAGTTCGGCAGTTCAAATCTCACCAGCTCAAGGT